TCATGGCTTGATGGGCATGCTCAAAAATCCCTATGTCTTTGCGACATGTGCGTTCGCCTCCCTTGGTTGTATCATGTACGGATATGATCAGGGTGTCATGAGTCCCGTCCTGGTCATGGAAAATTTCGAGAACCATTTCCCGTACTTCATGGGCTCAACCATCCAGGGATGGCTGGTTGCTTCTTTGGAGTTGGGTGCTTGGGCTGGTGCGCTGTTCAATGGTTACCTTGCGGATCGCATTTCGCGCAAGTACTCAATGATGGTTGCTGTGGTGATCTTCACTCTGGGCTCTAGTCTTCAAGCCGGCGCTCAGAAGCCGTCGTACTTCTTTGCTGGTCGTATCGTCGGTGGTATCGGTATTGGCATGTTCAGTCAGGTAAGCGATTTTCTTATTCTTCTTTTCTTGTGCTAATCGGTGTAGGTTATTCCACTTTATCAAGCCGAAATTGCGCCTCCAGAGCTGAGAGGCTCCTTGGTCTCCCTGCAACAATTGTCCATTACCATCGGTACTTCGATCGCTTTTTGGCTGGATTATGGTACACATTACCTTCGCTGTCTATGCATAATACTCTCTTTCTAACCCTGCATCAGGAATGCAATACGTCGGCGGCACTACCTGCAATCCCGAAGGCATCTCCAACCCCTACCTCGCCGATGGCACCTACAATGCTGCACAGAACCACGGACACACATGCTTGGGACAGAAGACCATCGCGTGGCGCCTGCCCCTCGCCCTGCAGATTCTGTTTGCCTGGATTCTGTTCTTCGGAATGTTCTTCTTCCCCTTCTCCCCTCGCTGGCTGATGTCCAAGCACCGCGAGGAAGAAGCGACCGCCGCCCTCTCCAAGCTCAGAAGACTGCCACCAAACGACCCCCTTCTGCGCGCCGAAATTCTCGAAATCAAAGCTGCTGTTCTCTTTGATGAGGAATCTGAAGCCGAAGCGATCCGTCAGGGTGGCAAGCTTGCCCCCTGGAAGATGCTTTTTGCTCCCAACATGTTCAAGCGTCTTGTTCTGGGATGCGGTATGTTATTCCACCCGTCTTCATCCTCAATGACATATCTAACAATAGTATTTGTAAACAGGAGCCATGATCTTCCAACAATTCACCGGTATCAACGCTGTCCTCTACTACGCCCCTCAGATCTTCTCATCGTTCGGTTTCTCCTCCACCAAACAGACCCTCCTGGCCACCGGTGTCACCGGTATTCTCCAGATTATCTTCACCCTGCCTGCAGTGCTCCTGCTCGACAAGTTTGGTCGTAAGACCTTCCTGATCGCCGGAGCCATTGGCATGTTCTGCTGTCACATTGTGGTCGCCATCGTGGAGGGCCTGTACGAAGATAACTGGAACAAGAACGAGGGTCTGGATAAAGCCCAGGGATGGGTAGCCATTGCGTTCATCTGGCTGTTTGCCGTCAACTTCGCCTACTCTTGGGGTACGCACATACCAACCACTCCCCTCCACTGCCTCCCTCATAACCAATACTAACCACTCATGAAAAATACAGGTCCCGTCACATGGGTTCTTGCCCAGGAAATCTTCCCCAACAGTACCCGCTCCCGCGGTGTGTCCATCGTCGCCTCGACCAACTGGATGTTCAACTTCGTCATCGGTCTGACCACTAAGGACATGCTGAAATCCATGAAGTACGGTACTTATATCTTCTTCGCCATTTTCAGTGCGTTGGGTGGTCTTTTCATCTGGAAGTTTGCCCCTGAGACGAAGGATAAGACCCTCGAGGAACTGGATATCTTCTTCGGTGGTGGTATGGATAGTATTGCCGAGGCGGATCGTCAGCGCATGGAGAGAATCTATGATAGTTTGGGATTGTCGGGTGTTAAGGAGGTTGGCGATTTGGTGGTGGAGAAGGAGAAGGGTGAGATTACGGGCGAGGTTGTGGAGATGTCGTAGATGGCTGAGTTGGTTTGGGGGACAGTGTGGTGATAGGGTGGGTGGGGTGTGAAAAGGTGGTGGGTTTGAAGTTGTTTGTTTGTGGTAATGTGTTTAATGTGTTGGGTGAATTAGTGACTGATAACACTGGAATTGCAGTATGTAGCTAGTTTGGTAATAGTAATTGCTTATATGCAAATACTCTCTACTTGTTTCGGGCTATCATCCGGTGAAGTATAATACTAACACTGAAGTCTTATGATTCCCATTTCTGAGGAAGTGTACGAAATGTATGATACAAAATATACAAGTACTAAATCACACTCCCGAATCAATCTCATCCACGAAACTCCGACTACTGAAAGCCGTCCAATCCCGACACGTCTGCGCCATAGACTCCGGAATAGCAAGCCTTTCAATGTCGTCCGGTCGTGCCTTTACCACAGAAGATATCCCCATTAGCAATCCATTCCACAACAGAGCATAAGTAAGAAAAAAAATGAACGAAGAAAACTTACAACCACATTCAAAAGCAACCCGACACTAACATGCCACGACATATGACAATGAAGCGGCCAAACACCGGGGTTATTCGCCTGCCATTCAAGCACCACGTACGCGGGGCTATCCTCCGTACCCGGCTGGACGATCTGTGTATCGCGACGTTGAGGATTCATAGGACTAGTGACGACTCCGTCCCAGGTCCCTCTTCCCTGGGCTAGCACCCAGTAGTTATGGCCGTGGAGGTGCAGCGGGTGCTGCATGGAGAAGAGATTGTAGATGATGAGACGAACGGAGGAGTTAGAGCCGAAGTTGTAGACGTTTAGGTCTGGATCTGGGTCTGAGAAGTTGCCGGCATGGCCTAGGAGGAGGAGCGGGGTGTTGTAGTCTGAGCGGAAGGTGGAGTTGTTGACGTAGAATAAAGTGTGGCCGGTGGTGTTTTGGGCGAGGGTGATTTCGATGGTTTGGGTGGTGGCGGGTGTGGATGGGGGTGTTTGGGGGTAGTAAGGGACTGTGAGGTTGAGGGGGTCGTTGGCGCAGTTGTTGCTTTCCCAGGTTGTTGTTGTGGTGGTGGTTGGCCAGGTTGCTGTGTCGGCGTGTTCGTAGTAGATGGCGGCTTTGACGGTGGGGATGCTGGCTGTGGCGTTGAGGCAGGTCATGTCGATGGAGGCGCGCATCCAGTATGAGTCTGTTGGATTGCCCGTGGCTGTTACTATTACGTCTGTGCGCTGGCCGACACCGAGGGTGACGACGTCGGTGGTGTAGGGCTGTACGGGGACGAAGTCGTTGGCGATCACGGTCAAGGTATGGTTGTCGATGGTGAACTTCTGGTTCGCGTTGGAGCCGGTGTTCATTAGTCGGAGACGATGGGTTTTGCCGGATGAGAAGTTGAAGCGGGATAGGCTGGAGCTGGGGCTGCAGGTGGTAGTGGAGCTGCTGTTGCAGTTGTAGGCGCCGCGGCCGTTGATCAGGTTATTGTCGACGTTGGGGAAGACCGGGGGGATGGAGAAGATGCTTTCTAGGACTTCGAAGTAGCTCAGGTGGCTGTAGTCGGAGATGATGACGGGCCCTAGGTCGTAGTCGTAGGTGGCTTCGGGCTGGACAGGGCCGTGGATGATCATGGGCCCGTATGCGCCATCGGTGTATTGGGCGCTGTAGTGGGAATGGTACCAGCTAGTGCCGTACTGGTCGGCTTGGAAGGTGTATGTGAAGCTTCCTCCGGGGGCGATGGGGCACTGGGTGATGCCGGGAACTCCGTCTTCCCAGGGAGTCTTGGCTTGTGTGAGTCCATGCCAGTGCAGGGTCAAGCCTTCTGCGGTGTCGGTTGTGATCATGTTGTTGACTGTGACGGAGATCATGTCGCCCCAGTTGGCTTCGATTAGTGGGCCAGGGAATTGCCCGTTGATGAGGATGCCGCTCTTCTGGTAGCCATCTGGGGCGGTGATGTCCCGTGTGATGGTAAAGTTGTAGTGGCGTGTAACACCTGTGTCAGGGGGGCCTCCTGAGGATGAGATATCCTTCCATGGGGGGTGTTCGAGGTTGGAATGCTGATTTTGGTTGTTGTCAATAGAGTGCAAGAAAGGGCCAAGAGGGGATGTTGGCAAGAGGCCGTAAGGAGAGAGACCTATAAAGATATTAGTTAGCCGAGAGAGCACTACAGGGTTGAAGGAAAGAAAAGGGGCATTATGAATAATACCGTCAGGGAGATGTGACTCAAAGGGGTTGAAGGAGACAACCGTCCCCAAAAGGAGGAACCAAGACTGCCAATAGACCATCATATTACGCTATTCCGTTGTTTACTGAGGTCGTAGCATGATTTCTAGATGGGTCGCAGCTTGGATATAAATATGTTTTACTCCTAAATAAACACGGATCCTGCGAGTTAGATATAAATTTAGACTTGTGAAGGATCAAACTTTACGCCCGATTTGAGGTGAACGATTGATCTGAGTGGGAACAGGGGGCTTGTAGATGGCTAGCCACGTTTTCCTACGTTTCTAGCATGCTTGTTGGGATCATCTATAGTACTACCTTCAAATACTTAGTTCACGAATCCAGGCCATGACACCAAATAGGGATGTTTCCAGAACTCTACGGATCTGCATCAGCAACGTGGTGCAGCTCTGTAGAGCAACGATAATCCATGACTATGAGGGCCAGCTCGACCCCCAGATTCGAGTTGAACAGGATCATGTTTGATGCACATTTAGCGACGGCCCCCAATAAGCGACCCACTTACGGATAAAGATTTAGAAGATCTGGAGTTATGTCAATGTAGATATGGCTTCTTTGTTTGGCCCCCACAATACTACTGCTTACTACTGCTTAGCATCTAGAGGTATCTAGAGACTTACCCTACCTAATTGCTTGCTGAGAATGTTGATGCGACATGTTGCAACGATTAATGACTGGACACTTTATCATCCGCCACATACTTTTTGATGATTTGCATTCATAAGTAATCATTCAACCTGAGTAATTCATAAGCTATATGTGAAGAAGTAAATCTTCGAACATAACTATCTCTCTTCTAGTTTATCTACTCTGTATCACGACTCTCCCCCACACACCACTCTCATCCACCCCCCATTAAAAACTTCTCCAACCTACGCCAAAAGATCCACCAAATACTGAGCCAAAAACCCAGCCGACTTACTCCCTCCAACAATAAAGAACCCCATACGGAACCAATACAAACAACTAGCCGGCTTGGTCAAATCGACCGAATAAATCATCACGGCCAACGAAAGCGCGGTGCCACCACAACCCACGAGGAAGTAAACCCCGGACAAGCCCGCAGTAACACCCACCGCAACCATGAACCCAACCATAACGACACCAAGCACAGAGGCAATAATCTTCGTAGAATGTCTATACCTAACCGCCATGGACTTAACACCCGCCTGAACATCGTGCTGCACATCCTGATGCGCGTAGATGGTCTCATAAATAATCGTCCAGACGAACTCAACCACGAACAAGCAAGCCGCCGGAGCGGAGAACGGGTCCACGCCCATTCCGACAGCGGGGAGGATCATAGTCACTGAGAAGGGCAGGCCCAGGAAAACGGGAGTGAAGTCCATGAAGCGTTTACAGAGGGGGTAGATAGCGTGCAGCACGCCCATGGCGAGACTGTATGCGTGACATTGGGCGGGGAGGTGGCTCAGGATCCAGGCGGTGATGGCGACTTGAGCTAGGGTGAAGATGTGGCCTTGCGTGGTGGAGACGGCTCCGCGGGCAATGGGTCGACAGCGGGTTCGGGGTACTTTGCGGTCGAAGTCTTGGTCGACATTGTCGTTCCAGGTGCAGGCGGCCCCGCGGATGAAATTGGTGACGATCCAGAAGAAAATGAATGATTTGAGGAACTCAGGGGCTGTGATGGGTGGAGAGGCTAGTGTGGCGCCCGCAGAGAGGCCCATTAGAGTGGGCATGAAGAAGCCGAGGAAGCCCGGACGGTCAAGCCGCATTAATTGGACGTAGGGCACCCAGGATGATGGGACCAGTTTGGCTACGCCTTGGATTGGCATCTCGTTTGTGGCCGGGGCTTTGACCTCCTCGTGACGGGCGGTTATGGCCACTTTGTGCACGGTTTGGCGCTGGGTAAGGGTCTCTTCCATTGTGTTGGAGCCAGGGGGGAAGGATGGTTGAAGGATGGATTAGGGAGGCTATGATAGGGTAGACACTGTGAGTTCAGTGTTGAGAAGTGTATGTCTAAACTTGGAGGAACCGACAGTGGATTTGGAAGGATGAAGGATGATTGATAATGGATTGCTCTGGTTCATTGATATGGGAGGAATGTGTCTTATATATCTTCGATTCCACCATATATTGCACACACACATTGTTCTAGATACAGATATTGATCCGAGAACAGGTAGATACACATGGGCTGAGAGATTATTCTGCCAAGTCGTCGTTCCCAAGCTATACTCACCATCTGGAGACAGGCAGACTCGAGCCATGGCAAATGCAGAAAACTGGACGAGTGAAGACTGCGGGCTGTGCTCACGGTGCCCCTCCCTCTTCGATTAGGTTGGGGTCCGAGAAATGGGGCAGTAAAGCAAGCGAGCCAGCACTGGTTTAGCGGTTCACTGTGAGGGAGCCGTGCTGTAGTCCGAATGCAGTAAGTGATGTGCTTGATAAGGCGTTCTGCCAGTTATTCGGACCGTCGATCTTTGACTATTTGCGGAATTTGTTTGCTGCATACAAAAGAGTGTCTTGATAGTTGATACAGATGAGGCTGTAAATTCAATTGTTAGTAGATTTCATAGCATTTGATTTCGAGATCCGGGATCAAATGCATCAGCGGATAAGTATTTAAGCATGTTTTGGCAGGTCTCCACTTATCACTTGTCTAGACACACTACTACTGGTACTGGTACTCCACTGCACCAAGTGTTTGCAGCTGCAGTCAAGCGCTATGCTGGAGCAGTCACAATCTGACGTGAGAAGAAATTTCTGACGTAGAGAAAGAAAAGAATGTGAAAACGGGAGAGCAGAAAATGCTGCACTACGTAGTACTTGAAGCAGGAATATGATCGAGAATCGATCTAGCGGTTCTGCCACACAATACAGCAGCGTAACAAGACGTAATCAATTGGATTAGCTGCTCAATCTCGGAAATGAATTCTGCTTCCATCGAATTAGGGGCGAATCTATCTCCAGGCCTCCGCATATCAGAGAGCGGCTTTAGCCCCCACCGAACTAATAGAAAGGAGCCCTATCTCCGATTTGACATAGGCCAATACACTAGCAACATGGAGAAAATTTAATCTTCAATTGAGCTAACTAGAAGCACGTGCACCAGCAATAAGCTCTGCGTTATGCAGCAACGGCTTCGATAATGCTATCCTGCAAGCTCTCTGTATACGTGTGCACCTTGTTAATCTTTAGCCCTGCGCTCTGTAACAGCTGATTCCACTGTTCCTGAGTTCGCTCCCGAGCACCCAAAGCCGCCATCATGAGCATGTCTAATTGTGCCTGCTGCCAGTGAACGCCAACATTGGGCAGGACCATGTCATCAATCAGGATATAAGAGTCTGGGGCCATAGCATCCTTAATATTCTGCAAAATCTCCACGCACTTGTGATCTGGCCAATCGTGGAGAATATTCCGTAGATAGTAGAATTTCGCTCCTGTCCGCCTGTCAATATTGTACAGTACCGGGTAATCAAGAGAGTTGGAAGAGTCATACCTTTGACTGGCTGCGGAGTGAAAAAGTTATAAGCCATGAACTCTACGCCAGGATGCTGCGTCGCGTTGGCCGTGGTCGGGGCCAGATCCTGAACAATCACTCGACCTTCAAGTTTGCTGTACTTTTCCCGAAAGGAAATGGCTTGCTGACCGAACCCTCCTCCAATATCCACGAAAAGGGCTCGGTCAGCGCTTGTTTCACTGGCCTTGTCGGGGGCTGGGAAGACATCCAAGAAGGTGGGCATGCCGAATCGATTGGCTTGCATGTGTTCATTGAAGAATGCCAAATTCTCAGGGTGTTCCTGCAGCCATAGAAACGCCGGTAATTCCGTGTTCATGACTCTCTGGAAAGGTGTCTTTACATTATCCTGAATATCGGGGTATCCGTTCTCTTTCAGGAAGGCCGGAAGATCTTGGATGGACGGGCCGGCATTGCAGAAGCTGCATTACAAGGCAGTCAATAAATCAAGTCCCTTGTGAGAGTTGGTTAAGGGTATTACATACAGATGGCCAACAGCAGCTTGGAATCCGCGCTGGGAAAAGGTTCTAGAGATGTTGGACGCAGTGAACGTATCCTTGGCCACTTCCTGGACCGCGTGATAGGAAGCCAAATAACGCAGTAACCGGCCTTGTTCGGTTAGAACCGAGCTCTTCCACTTGTTGGGGAATTACATACCCATGAACACTGGATTGGCTCCTGTGCTCTCACTCAGCTGGTCCACAGTGAGGGGGCCATCGGCCTGTGTTAATAGCTCGAATAGCTTTAGATCGATGGCGGTGCGGATACAAGCCAGTTGCATATTCTGGTGAGGGAATATCCAATTAACTATACTTGGCTTAGCCAACTGCAGGAGCGGGTGCATACGTAGAAGGTAAAGCGCTGAACAGTATCATCTGGAGATTCGATAGAAGCATACAGCTTGCTCAGTGAATCTAAGATATCCTTGCGTGTTTTCTCATCACCGGCCTTGGCCTGTCTTCGGACTTCTTCCACTAGGGCCTCCATGGTTTTCTTTGCTCGTTCGTATGTTTGCTGGGTTTTCGAGTCACTGGCGGATGTTGAATTTTGAGAACCAATGGGGTGAGATGAGGCCTGAGTAGGGCAGGATTGTTACTACTATTTAACTACAGGGAAGATCACACTGTACACAAAGTGCAAACATCACATTGGGCATCCTTGATGCTGGGTTTGTGCTAGAAGACAAAGAAAGAACCTCTGGGCGGTTAATGTCAATGCCGCCTCCAGCAACCTACGTTTGGATTTCCAGGGGACCACCTGCGACTTCTCTAGTAGACTTAACTCCAGTAAACTAAGCTTTGATTTGTATGGTGGAGCCGATTTGGGGGCTGCTGCAATACTGAAGCACTGGTCCACATAGAGTTAGTCGCTCCCCGCCATGGAGGGCCGCTTTCCACCGCAAACGATAAAACAGACGGGATAATCTGATCGACGGCTGGTGGAGACCCTAACCCACAGAGAGCAATCACGCCGAGCCTTCGCAGCCTTTGAGTTGGCCGCTCGGCTACACAAATCCCCAAATTCATACTAATTTCTGACGGGCGGAGCCTTAGACCAAGTCTGTTCACGGCTCGCGTTCCAGCTGCATGTCTCCGGCCAGCGCAGCCACTGGGAATGACGAACAACGAATCACACTAACTAACTGGTCAGTACCTGTCGGCAGAGGACAAACATCTTGCTAATAAACTAGTGAGAAATCGTACAGAAGTGTCAGCAATACGCATTGACTGCCGATAATCTCAGTGGATGGTGGCTAACTCCACATGTGGTAATATTCTTTCGGCTATCCCGTAGACTGAACATGTGCCCAGCAGGCACTTCTCCTCACTTTGGCCCCCAGACAGGTACAAGATTGTACATGAGTCCGATACAGCCACCAGGTCGATCGGGCTCACTACCACAAACTGGCGAGGTTGACTGCATATTCCAGCTGCACGTCTACGCCTGTGGGGGCGTCTTATTCACGGATGCATGCTTATATGCGTGAAAACCCCTCCTTTCGCTATGATGACCAGCCGAGCCCATATCAGTCGTCCCTACCAGCCTCGGTCGCGAAGCAGAAAGAAAAGCATTCAGCATGAGTGCACCACCGGCTGGCGGTGATCAGAATCGCGGCCCTGCTCTGGTGGCTATTTACTGGGCCGAGACATCTTTCGCCATTCTGGCGGTCGCATTGCGACTTTATGGTCGGAAGCTAATCAATGGCTTTGGCGCTGATGACTATATGATGGTCTTCACACTGGTACGCACTCCATTCCTCCTCCTATAGCCCTCATCCAACCATACTAATATGTATCTCCTCTTCCCCTTCTTCAGCTCCTATTCATCACTCTAGCTGCATTTGTGACCTACCTCGCCGACAAAGGAGGCTGTCGACATCTGTACTACTTAACAACCGACCAACAACTCTTAGTCGTGAAGTTCAACTGGATCACTCAAGTATGGGGTATTTTTGGCTTCGCGACCGGCAAGAGCTCAGTGGCTCTACAAATCAAGCGAATCTTGGGCCCGAATGATAACTGGATGAAATGGCTCCTATGGTTCCTAATGATCTCAACCACCATCTTCTGCGGGTTAGACTGCCTCTTTGGCTTCGTGCAGTGTGATCCTCCTCGCGCTCTATGGGAGCCTTGGATTCCCCATACCTGCTGGAACACAAACGTACAAGCGAACTTTGCGATTTTCATATCAGGTATGTTGCCATTAATATCCCATGAGACCATCTTTGCCTTTGGACTATCTGACTGATATCGCTGCATTCAGCATGGAACGTGCTGGTAGATCTTGTCCTTGCTGCTCTGCCCATCCCGATTATCTGGCGGACGAGTCTCACCCTCAAGCAGCGGATTGCTACCTGTACCCTTCTTGGGCTTGGTCCTTTGTTAGTATTATTATTTTTTATCCCTGATGTTCTCATAACTAACTTCTTTATTCTAGGGCTGCAGCCTTCGGCCTCGTCAAAATCCAATACCTCGCTGGATTGAAAGAGCGTTCTGACCTGACCTGTACAGCCCCCCCCCTTCTTCCCAAAACCCCCCTCTTTCCCGCAATGATTACTGACTATGTCTCCTCACAGGGCAAACATACAACCTGTACGTCTGGTCCGGGTCCGAGCTCTTCGTGATCATCATCTGCGGCTGCGTGCCCCCAATGCGTCCTATATTCACGACGCTGTTCGGACAGAACAAGAGCCAGTTTACAGGCTACTATGACTCCTCCTCTGGATATAAGCGTCGACAGAATTACAAACTCAGTACCTTGGGATCGTCGCAGCCCGTCCAGAGTCAGGATGAGGATACCGAAGCGCTGCACTCTCGGGTGGAGGGGACCGGATCACATCTGCCCCAGTCGCGTTTTACTGAGGGGGGGATTTATCGGGAGGTTAATATATCGATAGTGGAGGGGCCTAAGTGATAATTTGTATATATTATAATTGATTCATGATATTAGTGTATTGTTATTATGGATTTCCTTCTCGATCTAGGAGCCCTTGCTTGTAAGGTACTCACTTTCCTCCTTTCAGTAAGATATGATATAGTATAGTATAGTATATATTACACATCTATTCCCGCTCCCCAATATCAAATATAAATAGATATATGTCGGATAATAGTAAACGCTGAACTTTCGAATAGACTAGAATACCCCGATACTCAGCCTCAAAGCGTATCACGAAGCTCCTCGACCCGCGAGACATCCTCCACAAAGGTAGCGCCATACTCTCTCATAATCTGGATTCTCTCCTCCATATTCATGGCGAAACTGATTCTCATAAAGTCCCTTGGCATTTCCTCGGCATTCGCAAACCTCAACACCCACACGCCTACACCATCCGCCGGCCACCCAAACACGAGCACTTTCTTTTCTTCCTCCGTCATCTCTCTCACCTCTAGAGCCGCCTCAAGCTCATCCTCCCTACTCGGCCACCACGTCGCCCCAGTCCGGCGCAAGAGCTTACAGAATCTGTCCTCCTCATCGACACTGGATGCGCGCTGCACGGCCTGAAAGCGCGGGAGCGAGAGGAAAAGCAGGTCAACCAGATCAGCGTTTTTAATGAGGACGCCGCCGTTGGAGGGGTACCCATAGACAAGGCATCCTCCGGGGCTGAAAGACGGTCCGTTCCGTTGTCGGGAGAGGGGGGTTCACGGGGCACGAGCAGGCGGAGTCGTCCTGCTCCACGCCGTCGAGTGCTGGGAGTCGTCGGTCCACTATCGGGAGGCGGTCCACGTTGATGGGGAGGACGCGGCCGATGGTTTGGGCGCAGAGGGAGGAGAGGAAGCAGGACATGGTTGCTCGATTGAATCTGGGTTTGATGAATCTGGTTTCGATAAGGCCAGCGGGTGAAGATCCTCTTCTAGATATAACACAGATAGACCAGATATTATAATCTTTGCGCTGCTTTCTGACATTCAATACACAGCTGTTGTGTCCTGTTTATCTGCCTAAAATAGATAGGCCTCGGGGAGAGAAGCAGGCGATACTCGGCCCCGATCTGCCTGAGTCAGGCGCCCCACTGCCGAGAGAGTCAGTCGGTCGACAATCTCCGAGTCATGATGGTGCCTGAGGCATTAACCCCATTCTATATAGAAGTCCAGGTGTGATTGGGCATGGATTCAGAGATATTGATTCGTTAAAAGTGTCTACTACCGACCAGATTCTTTGCAAAGCTTACATGCATCTTTCATTATGGAGCCTCAAGTATCGTCTGATTTACACGGAGGGGAAGGTGAAGGGAAAGGCTGGCGTTTCTGGGTATCTACTTCCTAACATATTCGACATCAGAGTATATGCTAACACATATGGGAACTACTTATAGACCATCTTCATCGCATTATCCATAACTTCTATTCTCTCCGCCCTCGATACCTCGGTCATTTCCACCGCCATGCCTACCATCGTGCACGACCTCGACTCCAGCTCCGCTTATGTATGGATCGCAAACGCATACTTCCTCACTAGCACTGCGTTTCAGCCGCTCTATGGCCAGTCGGCTAATATATTTGGCCGACGCAGTCTGATTATTCTCTCTGTTGTTCTCTTCGCCATCGGATCTGCCGTCTCTGGCTCTGCCAGGTCCACGAATGTCCTGATCGTCGGACGTACGATCCAGGGCGTAGGAGGTGGGGGCATCAACGTGCTCGTTGATATCATCGTGTCGGATCTGGTGCCTCTGCGTGAGCGGCCGAAGTATATGGGGGTCATATTCAGTGTGTTTGCGGTGGCGTTGAGTCTTGGTCCTGTGATCGGTGGGATCATGACGCAGCGGGTGACCTGGCGGTGGATATTTTACATGAATTTGCCGATCTCGGGAGCTGCGCTGGTGCTTTTGGTGTTGTTCTTGAGGACGGAGTATAAGAAGAATTCGATACGGGATATGTTGAAGCGGGTGGATTTGGCAGGGAATGCACTTCTCGTTGCCTCGGTGCTTGCGGTCTTGTTGGCTTTGACGTGGGGTGGAACGGAGCATCCCTGGTCGTCGTGGAGGACAATCCTGCCGCTTGTGCTGGGGAGTCTGGGTCTGGTTGGGTTTATGGTGTTTCAGGCGTCAGGAAAGGGCGTGGAAGAACCGACGATGCCGATTCGGTTGTTTGCGAATCGGACGTCGCTGGCAACGTTTGGGCTGACGTTTTTGCATGCCATCCTCACGTACTGGATGACGTACTTTCTTCCGGTATATTTTCAGGCGGTTTTGGAGGCGTCACCTACGGCGTCTGGGGTGGATTTCCTTCCTAGTGCTGTTGCGGCGATCCCGTTTGCGATTCTTGCCGGGGCGGGGCTGTCTATATTGGGCCGGTATCGCCCGTTTCAGTTTATTGGGGTCATCTTGCTGACTATTTCTTTTGGGTTATTGACAAGGCTGAACGCAATGACTTCGACGGGGTATTGGGTTGGGGTGCAGATTCTCGCGGCTGCTGGGAGCGGAGTGCTTCTCACGACCACGTTGCCGGCCATCCAGGCCCCGTTGCCTGAAGCGGATGTGGCCGTTGCGACAGCTACCTGGGCGTTTTTGCGCAGTTTTGGGGGAGTTTGGGGTGTGACGATTCCGTCGGCTGTATTCAATTCCAGAGTGAATGCTTTGGTGGATCACGTGAAGAGTTCTGTACTGCGAGAGGAGTTGAGAAATGGTGGGGCATATGCACTGGCGTCGAAGACATTTATGCAGTCTTTGGATTCAACACCTGGTGTTAAGGCACAGGTCTTGGGGGTTTATATTGACAGTTTGAGATTGGTGTGGCAGGTAGGAATCGCGTTCGGCTTATTGGCGCTTGTGGTAGCTTTCATTGTCAAGGAGGTGCCCATGCGGGAACAGCTTGAGACAAAGTTTGGCTTGACTGGTAGGGAGGATGACGGTCGCAACAGTGAGGCACCTATTGAGAGCGCTGAGAAACATGTATGAGTGAGTGGTGGAAGGAATGTCTGGTATTCGGCGAGAGGTAAATCCTGTAGCTTAGTTTATGCCGCGAATCGAGAGTTTGAGTCACTTCCAGGCATTCTAAACCCTAATCTATATAGTAAGTTTGGCCAGAAAGCCTGTCTATAGCGTAAGATAATCTAACGACTTTAGCTAGCTAGGCTGGCCCTCGCTGAGTTGATCGTGACTCTCAGCCGTGACAGTCGATCTCAGAAGCCAAGTTGCATCGATGTCATCAAAGCCCATTAGCTCAACGGAGTCATGCCAATAGCTACTCGGCTCACCACCGAAGTCGCCTTCGGTCGGGTCCATCAGGTTCAATGGCTGAACTTGATGGCACAAGTTCGCATCTTCCGACCCACATAGACCTTGAGACGATGGCTTGTCGTGCGATGAAGGGAGCTTGGGGATTTCAAGATCTTTCTCTAGGATTAAGCACGGCTGGTTAAAAGGCGATAGACTTGCCAATTCGGAAATCCTCTCAGTACAATGTTGTGGTCTGCTAATAATTTCCTTGACGAACTCAGGAACGAAACCTCGGAGATTAGGATGTGCATTGAAAAAGTCCGATCCGACAGCGAAAGGACACGAGACAGAAGTTGGAGCAAAATGTTGTCGAAATTGCGGACTAACGGCTAGTCTGCGGTCAAGGCTGATTTCGTATGCGTCTTCGAATTTCAGCGCCGGGGAAAAGTACATATCGCGAAGCGCATCCATCGCAAATGTCTCGCATGCTTCGTTATGGGTAACTATGGCATTTTCTGATTGGGTAGAGAGCAAGTGGGAGCGTAGTTGTGGCCTGGGTTTGTGTTAGGCGAGTTCTATCGAGGGAATAACTTTAATCACCATGGTAGCATGTCTATGGAGATATTATGAGGGAGGCTCATCTGGATTGGTCTTCAAGGAGTCAGTAAAGGCCAAGGGCGGACTCTGATCTCGCTCACATTGGTCGTAGCCAGCCTGGAATCTGTAACGCATATGAATGGCACCCGCTATGTTGCGTGAGCAAAGACTATACCCGAGTTAATAAAGCGTATGCTAACTTGTGATGACCACCTACCAAGAACGCCGTTTGAACAAGGTACAGCAAGGCTAGCTGGTCTATTGGCCTTGCCAATGGTCGCAAAAGCATGAACCGGCTATGCAAGTAAGCCAAGAGGCGCTGTATCGGTTCCTCATTCTCGCTAACAGGATCATCCCAGCCATTTAATACCCCATATACTATGATGTGCGTGTCACAGAGCGGTGAAAATGGCGTAGAGTCGACCGTCTTCAGGTCTTCGTAGTCGAGGAAGATCCGACTAATGAGACCAGGATCCGTTTCAGTGTGTTCTCCTTCTGTCCGAGCCTGGGCGGCTTTGTCGTCGCTAGAGTTCAATGTTGATTTCATTGCTTCGGCGATAGAGACTAAATGATCAGCCAGTCTGCGCAACTCATCACGCTCATCTCTCATCTGCCTGAGCTCATCCGAAAGTGCCTTGTCTGCGCCACCTTGCAGTTGCGAGACTTGGAGCTCCAACAGTGCGAGGCGGTCCTTGGTGCGTTGGCGAGCAGCGCGTTGTGCATTTCGATCTTGGACTCTCTTCTTTTCGCGTTTCGAGATATCCTGCGACATTGTGTTGATGCAGTTTGATGGAAGGAATGAGAAGCAGCCATCACTGTTTTCCTGTCGCCTGTTTTGGCGGGACACGTGCTGATTGCTTAGTGAGCCGCTAGGAAGTGAATCCCTCCACTTAGAGGTAGCTGTTTGAACAGGGTGTGATATTCATTTGTTAAAGACTTTCTATGCATACATGATTATAACGCTCTTTCATGTCCCCCTCTCTTATCCGTCCACTGAAGAAATGAATGGGGTACCTCAAAGAGATCTGGGTTAAGTTCTGGAACTATAGCATCATCGATAGTGGCTCGCACGGTACACTCTCCGCTCAAGATGTGCTCAATATTCCCCAGGGTACTGTACATGACCCCAGAAGAATGAGACATCGGGCTATTGACGACTTGTTGGTCGTTATCCGAGGAATATTCCTTCTTGGCGTCTTTCCATCTCCCAACTAGCGACGGGTAAGACGAGTAGCACTCCAATGAGCCATTGTGACAGAGTTCACTTAGGAGGTCTGGAAAATCCATATTGTCATCGTCTGTGAGCCGTGTCAAAGCAGCGAGGATCTTCTGGGACGCCCTGTATGTAATGGCGTACGCCGCACTACATGCCGCCTTTTCTATCACGCATGCCATCCGGACATTGTTCCCAGTTCCAGCTGGGGGGTCATACGAATAAGGCGGGAGGTAGCGAGATGGCATCACCGTTATGTCGTGAGGCATCACCTGAATAGGGGAAGAGCCGTTGCATTTCATACCACAGTGACCGATCCAAAGAACGTCCCAGCTGTCTCCGTACGGAGAATCTGTGGTCGCATTCCTTTCCGGGGCGTTGATCTTTGGTATTTGCTGAGAGCCTAGGGCAAGTCCTTTTAATTGCATTATTATATTAATATCCCAGTCAACGTCGTCCTCAAGTATCAGTGCACTTGCGATCCCCTCTGCGACGATTCTATTTAGATTTCATTAGATGATGTGAACGAACAAAATGTAAGACAGGTCGCTACCTCTGTACAGCATTCGCATGTGGGCGGGAAGCAGTGAAGGCTTCAAAGCTCTTTGATCCGTTCAAATCCTACCACAAAGAGTAAGCAGACATCCATCGTGTGTTCCAGCTCCACTAACCTCGGCGCTGTCTTCCTCGAGGACAAACCCGTCGATGAAGTCGACGTGAAATCCTGTAGCTGAGGATGCAAGTACAATCGCATCGCGTTTGTCTAAGCGTTGTACCGGGCTAATCGCAAATATTTTCTCAAACTATAATATGTCAATATTTTGGGTGAAAGGTCAGCGAGGTGATGGAGTAGCATACACCGAGTGTGTTGTTTGCGATCGCGTCGAAGGGGTCCCGGATCTCGTCGGGCTTAACATTTCGGCCGTGTCCAATGTTCCCATGAAAGAACAAAGACCAGAGTAAAGCTAGGATGACGAGAAATAAGATGGCCAAGTTTGAAGATCGACGGCGTGTTCCAGGAACCAGCCTGACCGGAGACCCGGGAGTGATCATAGCAGCCATGTTCATTAATGGGATGATCAAAAATGCGAGCGCAGACCCCGCCTTTTTTAAGACCCCAATGATTACCTTTCAGATCTCCACTCTTTCTTTGATTGATGCGATGCATTGTGACCAAACAGCGTGACAGGCAGGTCAGCGTCCAGTTATATGCTTTGTTTAGACGCCGTAGTTGCGGGACTTAACCTGAACTAGCAATCAGCTTAGAGACCGGCCACTTTACCCGCATTAGAGCATGGTCAGAACACCAATCAGCACTTTTCCTAAGCTGTAATAATACACAGGTACGAGATCATGTCCGTTCCATGCGTGGTGTCTGAATAATATGGCTTCAAGTTTAAAAATCCCGACAATCTATCATGTATACACTCGGTCACAGTTCATGTGCCGATCGGTCTCTCAATAGGAGGCACGAGAGGTTGTAGCTTGATTAAGCTTTGAGCAGTCGCAACAATCGGGCTTGTCCTCACTGTCTTGGTCCATCTTCCACAAGCCATTGTTTCGTCCCCGAGTCTCCTAACTGACGGGTCTAGAGCAGTTACCGAAGATAGCACGCTAGGCATAGAGCCGATGAGAGAAACGTAGCATTACTCAGGCTTTATCAGGCGTTGTTATTGATGACGTTGACAGAGTTGAAGCAGATGCATACGGCGGCGGGCTATCTGCCTCCGCAACGTGCCCTTCGAAGCTTTGGGTAGCTTTTGCTGGTTCTCGAGAGTTTGCCAATAGCTCCACAGGAAGATCAGGAATATCAAAGGTACTTGTTTTCCCCGCACATTCAAATGAAAATGACGCGCACAACCGATACGTCCTGCTGATGTTGAATGTGCGGAAAAATACATCCGTATGTCTGATTCTAAGAGGCCCAAAAGCCTGTGCTAAGTCCACTTTACCCATGACTGGCATACCGAGCGACGTCCGTGATAGTATCTCAATCCGCTCGTCAACTTGGCCCGATAATGTTCCCATTAGAGACGGAGCGGCCCGAGCGGCAGTTTGACTGACCATGGAGAGGGTCAAAGATTGCATCACAATGTCGGGAGGTGATGTAACGGAAGAGTCCTCCATAAACGGCGTAATATTTAAAAAACATGGAATTGGTGTAGATTGTACCAGACGTGTGGGATAGGAAAAAGACGCTTTGAAGCTGAACCGAGGCAGTTGACCAGGTGAAAGCCATGACTGGATCTTCTCCTGCACCTTCAAGCTTCTTCCCCTGTTTTCTGGGAGTAGAAGCATGCTTCGAATATTAAACAGCTGCTCCTTCTGTTGCTGATATGTTGTGGGGTAGTCATCTGTGCTCTTCAATTCCAATCTAGCTTCCAGCGGTAAAAAGTTCAATCGTATGACCTCAGAGAACAATGGTGACTTTCTCCCTAGAATCCCTCGCTGTGGTCTAAACACTTGGGCGTGAATTCGGTATTCGATGGTGCACTCCAGCTTCCGCAAAGAATCATGAGTTTGCGTTGCAAAGGTTGGTGGCAAGGGATGATTTGCGTCGCTGCGGAAAGGCAAAGTTTCTGGCCATCTTGATGACGCGGATTGGACATGTGATGGAAAGACAAACTCAAATGGCCATTCATACGTATCAGGGGCAACTGTATCGCCATTGGGGTGCCATAGGATCCTCTCCTTTTCGAAAAGCATACACTTGCTTCGATAGCTGGCGGCAGGGGCTGCGGATCCCTTGGTCTTCTGCACCTTTGCCTTTGCGCGCCCGGAGAATGTCACCCGAATGTCCTGAATCTCCGTTGGGGTGGAACATTGAAAGACGATGCGACCTCTGATTCGGTCATTTCCAGCGTAGCATTGCTGCTGGTTAATCAACGACACGGTGATAGGCATTGTGAGGAATGGCACACAACGCAGACTTGGGTGGCTTTAGTGACAAAGGGGCTACTGGGAAGTGATCGCAGAAAAGAGAAGTGCAGGAGGAGCGGGATGGTACACCTTTGTACCATTGTGTAGTGGCTTGTCCCACATTTTTTTATTCTGAAAAGTATTGCCCAGGATATAAATAGGATTTTATTGTCAAAGCTTTATCCAGACCCATTGATAGTCGATGATGTCTGTGACAGTGGGGGATGCCCGTAGCCATTCGCAAATGAGGCGCGCCATTCTAAACGAATACGCGGAGACTTCCTGATGCGGAAGGGGTGGCGTCCCACTTGCTCTCCACTCAACCTTCAGTACAATATCCTTGGTTCCACTAAGTACATGTACTACCCATGCCTGATAACGATGTTTGGAACTTTACCTGTTTTGTACCATATGAAAAGATATTAACCTTCCTCATTTAAATAGATGATGGCTTCCCAGAGTCATCTATTCAAATAACCTGCTCACTGCTAGCAAGCTGGACAACACATGTGGTCGACCCAACCCCCTAAACAACACAATTCCTACCTTGCCTCTACCTGCGCAAACGCACGAAAAGTACCTTCAGATACCAGTATCATGCAGATAATACTCGCTTTCACACCTTTCAAAGGCCTCAATCTTTACAAAGGGGTAGGTAAGCAGACAGGTGTGGCAGGTAGAGGTCTAACTTAGAAACATGTCAGCTATGCTTGATCGTACAAAACAGGTGGAGTAGTAGATTACCGCTATCTTAGTAGAGAGGTACTGGAATCGAGGATGTTGCCGTGGGGGCCCCGGGGGAGGGGTTTGTAAGCGCTTTATCCACTTGGTTTTCAAAGATGAATGGATGTCTTGTACTAATTCTACTACAAAGTCAACCCAACATGATACTCAATTGGTTATTTCCATTTCTACCCAGGGACCCGTATATCTGTATAGTATGTATAGCATATCTGTGGACCAAAGGAAAGCGATCGTTGGTTGCTTGGATGCGAGGATCATTCCGCGGCGCGTGATTTGCTATCTAACCCACAATGATCCTTTCAGGTTCCTGGCAAAAGAAAAGGCACAAAGTAAAATCTGCGCACAGGCCAGGGTTCTTGCTCCTTGTGTATGGAGTGCTCCACAGGAAGATCCGGTAGTACGCATGCAAGATATACCTCCTAGTACCAACACACCACAACCAGTATTCTTCACATCGAAAAATCTACAGAATCCTGAGGTTTCCTTTCACAAGAGATATGAATCATATAACAAAGTGATGTGAGATCATTGTGTATGTTACTCCCCGGTATCTTGCGAGACCAAGTCCTCTTTATTCATCACATAATTAGATAGTCTGTGTTGTACCTACGCCTACATAAGTGGTTTAGGCATCCTTTCCATCTCCCCTTACCGCTGGATGCCTAGATTCTCAGTCAAATCATCGAGAGGGAGTAACGTGATCTACTAGTCTGTTAGCCTATCCCCTTCGAGTGGCTTACAGCCACAGGAACATCAAACAGCCTTATCAACTACATAAGTACTGACCACAATTATATCTACAGATAACTTTTGACAAAATTCCAAGCAAGCGCTGAAATTACTGGAGCCATCAACTGTCTCGAACCTCATCAACAATAAAAACCTTCATTTCACCACCGTGATCGCTGTTGCTTTTCTATTCTTGATGTGTTCCTGACTGCCCCACCTTATTTCCACCACCGAGCCTTGCACGGAAAACTGACCCGTTGCATTTCCTCACTTTGCGCCATTACGTCCGCCCTTCTGTCACACTTCTTTCTCGGCTTCCCAGTTAAACTTGACGAATAGACTTGTTCTATCCTCAGCAATCAGCATGCCTTGGAAAGCCTTCCGCAAGGACCTTTCCGATGCGTGCCTCCGAGCGAGTTTTCCTCATCTGAGCCACCTCAGGCTCGGTGACGAAGACAGTACCATTGCCTTTACCTACAGCTTCCAGTCCTGCATGCACATTGAATTCATTGTCTCCATTCTCGGTATGTGAGCGCCTTAATGATGTGGTCTTAGCCTTTCTTACTAATGACGTGATAGATGCCACTGAATACCCCGATGATCACAGTTATTTTGCGTTCGCTGTCACGGACAATATCCCCCCCGCCGTGTCCTCCCTTCTGGAGACAGTACAAACCAAGTTCAATGGTTGCTCTTTGGAGATATTTCTAGAAGGCTTTTGTGATTATCTTGACCAGGCCGCCCTTGGGAAAGAACCGCGTGCGAGTTCCCCAGTAGATGACGACTTCGACGCCATCTCAGATGATGAAGACATGGCCTGGGATGAGTACTCTGATGCCCCACGGATGGACCATTCCGTGGATATGAAGCAACTGCGGACTGATCTTCGAGCAGCTAAAAGCGCAGGCTTCAAAGTCGGCTATCTTGGTGACCTGGAGGGCTCTTTCATTGTGTCTGTTTCCTGCCGCATTGCTAGCCTAGGCATTTCACAAGACGCTATGCAAATGTGGAATGTCTGCCCCAAGCATTTTATAGTGCTGCTTCTCTATTATCCATGGGGTTACCGGAGCCTAGACCACATTGTATCCCAGTCACAGACAGCTCCTTCGCCAGTCAAGATGTATGTCGGTCTTTGCGATAGGTACAAGCCCACGACAATGTCTATCCCAGAGACCCACCAGGAGATCTCGAGCCCCGGTGTATCAAGCTCGATGCCCAAGTCGGCTTTAATATCTTCGTTCATTACTGACCCGTTAGAGACCCTTCTCAATGATCGGTTCGTTAGTATTGTACAAGATCGACTCAGACACGGGTTCTCATGGACAGGCGCAGAACTATTCTACAATGACGCTCAGGGTAAGAAGCTAGATCCCGAGGATGCCAAGCTTCCCAAATACTTTGTTCCGGAGAAATGGGCCAAGTTCACACCCGGCTTCGTCAAAGCAGATGATCTGCCACAGCACACGGCACATCAGCTATCTCTTCCTCTCATTGCCATGCAATATAGCCTGCGCCGTTTTGTCAAGTGCACGGAATTCTGTCTGAACTGCCATTGCAAAATAGACACCGGTTTTGAGGCCCTGAAGCCATATGTTTGTTCCAGTCCGTTATGTCTATATCAATATATGCAGCTCGGGATGGGTCCCAAGCTGGAATGGGAGATAGTCACACAGCCGTATGTCGTCGACATGCTCGTGAGCTTTGCTTATGCTCGGGCTGCGCAGGGGCAACTGACTGATCTTCCGTCTGGACTTGGCATGAAGGTTGCTTGTGGCGCCTCTACTGGATCGAGTCCGCCATCATGCACTGCGAGACTGGATCCTGCCAATATGACACTGATGGCCCGAGGGCCTCATAATCTAAAAGTTGGTGAATGGATTCTACTGAAGCCAGGCAATGTGTCTGATTCTTCATCGTACTTTCCATCGCTCTGCAGTACTGTGCTCCAAGTGCATGACCAGTCGCTTATCGAGATTTCGCAGCCTATCTCGGTAGGTTATCTGGCCTGCCAGCAAGACTCGCCTCCAGTCGGGCAAGACGTGCAAATTGTGCCATTTCATCTTGAATTTGATAGCTTGAGTAATGAGCTGAAACAGAAAGCAGTCATGCTACTCCTCGACACACTACCTGATGTCTTCTCCATGAGAAAGTTCATCGAGAGCAGTACGCCTGAACACAGGCCCCTCGCCTCATGGCATGATCAAATTTGCCCATCAGCTCTATATGTACTACGGTGGATTCTTGCTTCAAATAGATCATGCATCGTATACGATGATGACCCTGAACACCAGGTGACAGGGATGCACAACTACATGCAGTTCAGGCTAGCGCAAGGCTCTCCAGACAAAGAAGCTCGGTTTGTCCAGGAACTCAACAACAGCTCAAGCAAGGAGTTCCCCACGCTTTTCGCTTGGCACGGAAGTCCACTTTATAATTGGCACAGCATATTGAGAGAAGGTCTAAACTTTGATCGACTGTTGAATGGCCGTGCTTATGGAGATGGTGTTTATATGGCGAGCGATCTTCACACTTCTCTCGCATACTGCTGTCGTGATGGTATTTCTGGAGGCAAGTGGTCAAGAAGCCAGTTAGACATCACCTCTGCTATCTCGCTAAATGAAGTTGTCAATTCACCGGGAAAGTTTCGGAATAAAATCCCATATGTGGTTCCTCAACTAGACTGGATTCAGTCGCGGTACCTGTTTATCTCAGGCGATGGTTTCAAAGCTCGGGGAGAAAACAAGAGCAAACCCTCCAGGGTTTACGAACAGGACCCGGCTTGGACGGCGCGCGGCCCAGATTTTCAGCCTGTTTCCATTCCTCTATCGGCCCTTGGCACTCGACAGGGCCAGAGCCACAAGAACAAAAATGAAGCCGATGGACAAGCCACAGATAATAGACAAAAGAAAAGGATATCACCTGCAAAAGGGCTGTCTGGTCTGTCTGAGAGCTCATCGACAACTGATTCCAACGATGATACGGAGATTGAGGATCTTCGCTTACTTGATTCGGATTCGGATGACGATGTCATCGGAAAATCAAGACGCATTGATGCATCAAAGTCCAATCATAATCTGAGACGCGGGTCCAAAACCGACTTCCAGCCCGGAACTTTGCAAGCTCATTCCTTCAAGCTCCTTGGACCGCCGAGCTACGCGACCACAGCCGCAACCAAGTCACTACAGCGTCATCTTAAGACAACATTGCGCATTCAGGACCGAGAGCCCCTACATGAGATCGGCTGGTATGTCGACCCCACACTTATCAACAACGTCTATCAATGGATCGTCGAGTTCCACAGCTTCGATCCCTCTCTTCCTTTGGCACAGGATCTCAAGCAAAACGGTCTCAAGAGCGTCGTTATGGAAATACGCTTTCCGCCGCAGTTTCCAATGTCTCCGCCTTTTGTCCGTGTCGTTCGACCCCGATTTATCTCTTTCCAACAACGCGGTGGTGGCCATGTGACCGCTGGTGGCGCCATGTGCATGGAGCTGCTCACCAGCTCAGGCTGGCTTCCTACGAGCTCCATAGACAGTGTGTTTCTGCAGGTGCGTATGGCCCTTTGTTCAACAGAGCCATGGCCTGCACGCATTGAACGAGATGGCGAATATCCGTTTAGTGAAGCTGTGAGTGCCTACAGGCGAGCTTGTCAAGCACATGGATGGAAGATCCCAGATGACTTCAA